GCCTACTGCTAGAGCCATCCCCCCTCGTTGTCGCACAGGACACATCCACCGACGCGTCCACGCACCCGTCCACGTCGCCATCGCGGTCGCGGGCCGGTGGCACGGCGCCGGAGGAGCATCCGGAATTTGGAGCCGACTTCGGCGCCGACGCATTTGGCGGCGGCGGCTTCGGCGGCGGCGACGACGACGCGGACGGCGGCCCGGTCGTGGAGGACTTTTCGGCGGATGGCTTTGGCGGAGCGGGGTTCGGCCTAGGGGAAGGCGAGGACGAGGACGAGGTTGGGCTCGCAGAACTGCGCGCGAACTTGGCGGAGGTGGAGGATGCGCTATGCCACGAGCCCAACAACGCCGAGTGGATCGCCCTTCGCGACCAACTCCGCCAGCTCGTCCGATAAATCTCTTTCCAGAGGTGGGAGCGTGTTGACTGTTGTGAAACGTATACTAAAACTTTACGGATTTCGCGCACGTGTCCTTGTTTCATGCCTGCCAAATCCCCGCGATGGTGGCAGGGGTTCTATACGCGACGCAAGTTCTGAGTTCAGGATACACCACTGGTTGGGTAGTAGTCTAAGTTCTGAGCCTCGCGGCTTAACGGGTCTAAGTGTGGCTAGCCACGCTGGAGTGCTTACGCGGTCTAAGATCAGCGGGAGCCTCTTACACCGGCTAAGTCGGCCATGGCACGCGATATACGGCGCTCGCGCCCAAATTTTCTTCGCCTGCGCGGCGGGCGATCGATCCTCCTCATGCTCAGCAATCGCCGCCTCAGCATCCTCCTCTTCCGATTCTCGTTGCTGCTTCTTGAGCGCACTTCGGCGACATCTAGCCAAATAGTTCTCACAAATAGCCTCAAGCTCAAACAAACGCATGTCAGAGAAGCCTGTGTATGCTGGTCCTCTTTGAACGATCCGCGCGTGAGGTAGCATAGGGCCTTGTTGGCAGCAGCCAGCTTGTTGCGCTGCTTCGTTGCGATGAGCTGATTGGGATCGCAGAAGTGCATGCCAAGCACCGCCACGATCTTGAAGCAGAACACATCGCAACCGCATCGTCCGCACTGCCATCGGCATGCCGCGCCCGCCGCTTCGCCGCAGCCGCCTTAAGGCACGCATAGCGGCAGCACATGGTACGGTGCGCGTACTTGAGCAGGCGTTGCGCGCCGCAAGTAGCGCACTGGCCCTGGGAGACGGCGATATGGCGTCGTGCGCGGCATACGCTGGTCGGGACCGCGTCCAGGTATTTTTCGGGTAAACCTGGACTTTTGCAGGTATACCCGGGGTTTACCCGGAGTTGGCCTCGTGTCGTCTAAGTTCATGGCCCCCCG